GGGAAAGGTCAATGTTAAAGTTCAAGAAATATTTTTCTTTTTCTGTGAGGCATCCTAAGCAGCAAATACTTTGTTGGATTTTGATCCATACGTTGATTTCTTAGCATATATATATATATATGGCATGTATGTGTATATATATATACACACACACACACACATATATATATGTTATAGTTGATAACCATTTCTGTACAAGTTAAATGTATACATATACTAATATGCAGTGTAAAATATTAAAATAATTACTCTGGCAGAAATGAAATATAAAATGTAAGTATCTAAAAATTCTAACAATCAAAGTAATTTTTTAATAAAACAAACTTAAATTTGGGTTCTACTCGCTAAGTGACATGTTATGACCACTAGAGGGCGGTAATACAATTTGAAAATGATAAAAGTCTGAATTTTTTCATTCCAAGTCCCAAAAATGCTAATAAAACCAGATTTTCCTCAGCCTAAAGTTAGTGGTCATTGTGCTTTTCTCATTATTTAGGAATTGCTTCCAGTAAGGGATTTTGTTTCCTACCACATAATCTGGTAACAATGCAGGCGAGACAAGATGCAGATAATCATACCATACATGAAAGAGGAGTGTGATATAGATAAATTGGCTAGCAACAGGGATCTAATTTTCTAAGTGAAATAATGAGAAGAATGCATGTAGAAAATAGATCTCAATTATGCTTATCACTGCATAATTTTATAATCATTCCATGTCAGAATTGATCCTTTAAGATTCCATGTCCTCAGGAATGTCCTAAGACAAGATCTGTGTCAAGTAGCAACCTTTAGCCACATCACTCTGATTAGCATAAGAATCATGGTGAAAAATGTGTCATGTTTTTAGAATATCTTTAATCAAATCAAAATTTCTGGAACTTGTTTAGTTATAATTTTTACAGTGTAGAAGTAATTTAAAACTGAATATGTAGGAGCCAGCAGGAGGCATAGTGGTTGAGACACTGGATTCTCACATGGGTGACCACAGTTCAAGTCCCAGACCCAGAGGTTTGAAACGCATGCCTGTGAGTGTTTGCATGCCCAAAATTCTGAGAGGAGAATGGAAGAGAAGGGATTATGGCATGGCCATCCTTCCTGGGGGGGGATGGGGGGAGGGATGGGGATTTCTCACTTTCTTTCTCTGTTGCATGAGCACATGTGTCCTATAGTAAAAATCTCTCAAAAAGAAAAAAGCAAACATGTAAAAACTATGCTTTTGCATTTTTCATATCTACCCAATTCCAACCAAATGCTTCCCTTCCCCCATTTGATGGCCATGCTATCTCTGCCTCAAACATCCAGTGTCAACTTGCTTAGCACTAGTCAAGGCAGTGAGTTTCCTTGTTGGGCAGCTCCCAGCATTAGAATTTTTTCCCTCATATATTGGTTCAAATTTTTGCTTATTGCCTTAACCTCCTCCCCATAGATTAGATTTACCTGTGATACCATATAATGATTAAGGTTTGCTGTGTTTGGTTAAGTTCACTGGTCTATTTTCAGAAGTATATACTACTGTTGCAATCCCTTTCATACTGCTTTAAATATAGTTTTTATTGTAGTGCTTGTTGCTTTGGGGGTAGAGTGCTTTGGAGATAGGAGTGAGATAATGGAAATCTCAGGGCTAAGAAGTGGGAGGTAAAGTTTCCTGCTGTACCTCTCAGGATGTTGCCAAGAACAACACATTATCACAGCACATGCTACAAATACAAAACCACCTTGTGAGTGACAAATTGCATGATTACCAAGGCTAGTATGATTTGCCCTGAATATTAAGTAAATTTTAATACTTCATGTATTCTTTTCTGTTAGAGTGGCAGACTAGTTGCATCAGAAGCATTTTTTTTTCTTTTTTCTGTCTTTCCCTCTCTCTCACTCCTTCATAACACGATTAAATATCTATTAGACTGTTAGGAAAGTCATGACATATTTTACTATGTTTTTCTAGGCAAAAATACATCATGACTTTCCAGACAACCCAATATGGTACTTATCCCTCTAGCTTTCCACATTAATGTGTGGAGAGTCAGACCAAACTCAACCTAGGGATTTCAGTGCTGTGGAATTTGTGAGAGAAAGTCTGTAACATACTGGGTTGTTGGAAAAGTCATGGTATATTTTTTCCATTTTTCTATGCAAAAATGCGCCATTATTTTTCTGACAAGTCAATATTTGCCAAGCAAAACCTTGCTTTTTACTTTTTTTTGCAGGGCTGAGAGAGGGGATAGCCCTACCAGAGTTTCTAGAACTATCTGAGAGCAACCTCTCTGTTTTATTACTTCCATCCTAGCCTGGTGGAGGATGTGCTAAGAACCTCATATAAATGTCAAGAATAAAGTGCCACAGGATAAATATCACCAAAAGAGTTTTGAGATTCTATTAATCTCTCTAGATAGGTAACTACTATCTAAAAATTATATACTTCTTTAGAAATCATATAACCTGTATTTCAGTCCCCCTTCTATGATTTACAAGCTCTTAAGCAAACCCGTTGACTTAATAAGGATTTAGCTCCCTCTCCAATAAAGCACTCTTGGCTTAGATCTCTGCAGCCACCATTAGTTATGCTATTCCACATCCAGATCATGTTCAGAGGCTCCCATTAGATATGGCTTAAGGGTAGAAATTAGTTTAGCTCACCCAACATTTTCAGAATAAATGTGTTATTATCATTTATGAAATACTGACTTATTTTGCACTTCTGTGCATGAAATTTAAACAATAAACATAACTTTAAAAGAGATGGTGATTTGGGATCTAAACTTGTATTTTATTTTAAAAATAATTTCATAATTATAGAAGCAAGAGAAAAATCAGTACAATTAAAATTAAATGCAAGGAAGGGGATATTTCCTTTGATAATGATTTTTCCTTACAATAGGAAGTTATTTTTCTATCCAGGAAAAAAAAATTCTACTATTAAAATCATCCTTATTGAGTGACAACCTTCAATTAAGTCTAGTGACATTAACACACTAGGGCTCCCAATTTCCTCATCAATCAATTGCTTTGTCTTCCTGGAACATTTCACAGGTGAAATTCAAATCCATTGGCATTTGGTTAATTTTGTAATCTTATTTTTAGCATCAAATTAGAAACTATTATTATAGTTTTCTAAACCACCTGAAGTGGGAAAACCCACTGTTATTTTTTATAAAGTTATTATAAATAGCGATACATACATAACCCAGAAAAAGAGAAAAAAATAGGTTTAGGTTTACATAGATTGCCCAATAGGTAGAGACTTTTTAAAATTTTGCTGTGTTTCTGGAAAATAGACTTGATACTACCAAAAACGGTGATGCTTTCTAGAATTATCTATGCTGGCTCTTTAAATGTAGTGAATATAGGTATGAGTTATCTAGGCCAAGGCACACAAAAACATTTTATCTTCAAATCTGTATATTTAAATTATGCATGATTTTTATATAACCTTTTGCATGCTTAAAAGCATGATCTCTACTAGACAGTTTTTAAGTGAATAAAGTCAAATGTCAATGGCATTATCTGTGCAGGAAATTGTAAGGGAATGATTTGCATATATTTAAGAAAACATGCTCTCTATGTGGGTTTTAGATAACTCTTTAAAAATTGCTTGCATGCCAATATTTTTATTAATGTCTGTGGACTTTGGAGAAAGCATTATGTAGTTTCATCTGCACAAGGTCATAGGCACTGATCTGTAATCATCAGTCTGATACCCCATTCGGAAAAGAGCAGTGAAGTACATTACTTGTAAACCGGGAAAGGGCTGGCTCGTGCCCTGCAGTTTAGTGAAACTTTTCCTTCCAGTGACTCCTCCGGATAAATGGTATTGATTGGCTGCTCTTCAAAAATTGGTCCAAATCCTTTGTCCTCTTCTGAAACTGAAAGAAAATAATTTTGTATTATTTTATAATTCAAGGGAAGTTGGGGTAAATTGAAAAAACTTATTTGAAAACCATGTCAGAAATACAGAATCTCCATTTTAATTCAAAACAAATATAAGACCTTCATACTATTGGAGAAAAATTCCCGTTCTTCATTCATGAGTTGTTTCTGCCCTTCTCCAAAAGTATCAGTGTTTCCATGCTTAACTACCCACAGCTCCTCAGACAAACCATGCTGTCATGCCCCTGAGCTTTTGCACAAACTTTTTCTTGTGTGTGTGTGTTTGTTTTATATTTTTGCCATAGGACATGTGCACTCACTAGAGACAGACAGAGACAAGGAGAAAGAAAGTGAGAAATCAATCCCCTAGGGAAGATGGCCACACCACAATTATTTCTCTTCCATTTTCCTCTCAGGATTTTGGACATGCACATACATGTGCCCAGCGTATTTTTCAAGCTGCTAGGTCCAGACTAGAACTACACCATTAGCCACGTGAGATCCAGCACCTTAACCACCATGCCACTCACTGGCCCAAACTTCTCCTCTTTCTAGAATGGCTGTCCTGCTTTTCTCCACCTATCACAATTCACACGGTCTCTTGTAGGTGAGTCATAGAGTTAGTTCCTTCAAAAGGTCACCTCTCACCCCTTCTGATTTTTTAAAAAACAATTATTTTATTTTATTTATTACTGTTATTATTTTTAATTTGAACAGAGAGAGACAGAGACACAGAGAGACAAAGAGAGAGAGAGTGTGTGAGAAAGTAAGCCACCAGGTGTGGGACTTGAACCGCAATCAGCCATGTGGCAGTCTAGTGCCTTAACCACCGTGCCACCTGCCTGCCAGCCCCACCCCTTCTGATTTTAGTTGATCTCTTCTATGTCCCTTAGCTCTCATACATGTTATATATGTAACACACAAGCTTCATTGTTGGTGCAGCTTTCTTATCTGCTGGATTCTGAATTCTTGGCAACAGGTGGCTATGTCTTTGATTTCTGAATATCACTCTCCTAGCTATCTAGCTGTCTGAAACACAGCGTGAACTTAACCATTTTTGAATTGAATGAATGAAGAGAATGAATAAATAAATGAGACTCTAGAGGCTCATTAAAAATGAGTCTTTCTGGGAACCAGCAGTTAGCATAATGGCTATGTCGCTGGACTCTCACGTAGTCGACCGCGGTTCGCGTCCCGGACCCGGTGGCTTAAAACTCACGCCGGGCGCGTGTGTGTGCGTACCCAAGATCCCGAGAGGAGAATGGAGGAGAAGGGATTGCGGTGTGACCATCCCCCCTGGGGGGTGATTTCTCACTTTCTGTCTCTATGTCTCTCTCTGTCTGTCTGGCGAGCGCACGTGCCCTATGGTGAAAATCTCTCAAAAAAAAAAAAAAAAAAGAGTCTTTCTTGGATCCATTATTGCTTTTTTTTTTTCTAAAGGTGTGACCTGCAATGGTACTCAGTATGATCTAGAACAATCAATAAACAAACTTCATGAACGTGGGACTTGAGCAACTGGTTTAAAACTTATCATGAACAAACCCACATTGGGAAGCATTTGTTCCTGACAGTCTATCTTCTTTGGAAGTGAAAGCAACACCTCAAAGCAGGTTGAAGAGAAGGGAATCATTCACATGCCACTCAAGGGGCAGCATTTATAGAGCACAGCTAAGATCCACATGCCCAAAATGAATGAATAATGAGCCATGTGGCTCAAAGGGGGAGATATTCTTACGTGAAATCATTGGAATGTCTCTGTTAGATCCAAGCCATGACTCACTCCTCCAGTTAACTTTTAGGAAAGAGTACAAAGTGGATGGCACACAGACATTTCATCTACTCTATCATCAGCCTTGAAGATGAGAGCTTCATTCCAATTTTCCTTAATAGAGAGTTTTATTATGTCATTTAAGTCTTACCTTAGTGACAATAAACAGTGTGCTCTGAAAAATTATTTAATCTCACCAATCTCAATATCACCCTTTATAAAATAGGGATAATAATAAAATCTACCTATTTACCTCAAAGGGGAATAGCTCGTTTTCAGTTGTAACTTGCTGAAATTTTCATTTGAAAACTTTGAAGCCTCAGTCATATTTCCTAACCACCATCCCATTTCAGATAGCAGTGAATACTAGGTCAGAACCAGAGGAATGAGAGAAACTGACACTTAGCTCCAGGAAAGCAGTTGTTTAGCTCTTTACTATGCAAGTCATTTGTTTGATCCAGCTTCTAATTTTAAAAAAAGGAGATTGGGAGGCAGCAAGTGGTGCAGTGGTTAAAGTGCTGGATTCCAACATGGCTAACCACAGTTCAAGTCCTGGACTCGGCAGCTTGAAACTTCACGTCGGGCGCATGTGCACACGTGTCCAACATCCCAAGAAGAGAATGGAGGAGAAGGGATTTTGGTGTGCCTAGTTCAAGTCCTGGACTCGGCAGCTTGAAACTTCACGTCGGGCGCATGTGCACACGTGTCCAACATCCCAAGAAGAGAATGGAGGAGAAGGGATTTTGGTGTGCCTACCCCCCTGGTGGGGGTGATTTCTCACTTTCTCTCTGGTGCACATGTGCCCTACAGCAAACATCTCTCTCTCAAAAAAAAAAAAAAAAAAAAAAAAAAAAAAAAAGAAAAGAAAAGAAAAGAAAAAAAAGCCCAGAAATAGAGAAATAGGTCCCAAAGATCTAGTAGATCTACCAAACTAGCAGTAAAGTCACAAAGGTGGCATCTTCATAGCGGTTCTCTGTTCATGATTTTGAAAGTCCTAAGCTGTCTCTAGTTCCAAATTTTTCTGAGGTGGTGAAACCCAGAAATAGTAGTAATGGTGTCCACTTTGCTTCTGAGAATTTTACTGATTATGCCCATTATGTTCTGGCCCTTTAGAATGTACTTGCACAGCAACGAAAGATAATTCCAAATGACTACACTTCCATTTTGTATGTAAGGTCTGTATTCTTTGATCTCTGAAAGAAATAGCCATGTGTTTATCTATGATGTAAATCGTATGTTCTTTTTCATCCCATATGGACAACTTCCCAAGCTCTTCCTAGAGCCTCTCTCGTTGCGCAGCTTTTCTGACTCAAACAATCTAACAATGCATGCTGACTTAGAGATACTGTTGCTTCTTCCCAATTAACATGAAAATTCTTAAAACAAAGCAGAAAAATGTACTTCTATCAGTGTATTTAGAGTCTCTTCTTGAAGGCTAAATGATGTCTATTTCC